GCCTGGCTAACTTTCTTTTGTATTTTTTGTGGAGATGGGGTTTTGCTATGTTTAAGTCTTAACTTTTTTTTTAATAGAAGGGGTCTTGCTACACTGCCCGGGCTGACTTTGAATTCCTGGGTTCAAGAGATTCTCCTGCCTCAGTCTCCCAAAGTGTTGGCATTACAGGTGTCAGCCACTGTGCCTGGCCTGTTCATTTCTGAAATTACTTTTTATTTTGTTTATTTTCTGTGTTTTGCTACTGCACTTCTGAGTTTTTTCCACTTTGAGTTTTATTCTTTCATGTCTTTTATCAGCCTCTTAATTTTTTAAAGATTGAGATAAAAACTCCCTTTTTGATCTGTTTAGTGAATATAATTTTCGTTTGTTTTTCTCCGGGGCCTGGTGTTTAACAGCCTTCTAGTGCCATTTTCATGTGAAGTTAGCTTTCCTGCACTGTGAGGAGGATTGCAGAGTCAAGGCAGTTTGAACCTCATGGAGCTCCTTCTGTTTTCACGTAGTATTCAAAACCATGGTGGCTTATTCTGAAACTTCCTGACTCTGTCATCTCCCATGGGTGTCTGTCCCTTTCATGTTTAATTTGATTCTGTTCTCTGTGGTTTCTCCTGCGTGTGGGGCCCTTGCCTGTGTTTAGATTGTACAGTATCATCTCCGATGCTGTTCTCAAATTGCACCATGCTTTCCGGTGCATACCTTTGGCTATGTTGTATGTATGTAGCCTCCTGAGTAGCTGGAATTACAGGCACCTGCCACCACGCTCTTTTTTTTTTTTTTTTTTTTTTTTTGTCTTGCCCTGTCGCCCAGGCTGGAGTGCAGTGGCACGATCTTGGCTCACTGCAACCTCCACCTCTCAAATTGCACCATGCTTTCCGGTGCATACCTTTGGCTATGTTGTATGTATGTAGCCTCCTGAATAGCTGGGATTACAGGCACCTGCCACCACGCTCTGCTAATTTTTTGTATTTTTAGTTGAGACGGGGTTTCACCATGTTGGTCGGGCTGGTCTCAAACTCCTGACCTCAGGTGATCCACCTGCCTCCCCCTCCCAAAGTGCTAGTATTACAGGTGTGAGCCACCGTGTCCGTCCCATTCTGAACAGTTTTAATACCATTGCTGTTTTAGCGTTTTGTGTTTTTTGAGACACAATCTCGCTCTGTTGCCCAGGCTAGAGTGCAATGGTACGATCTCAGCTCACTGCAGCCCCCGCCCCTGCCCCCGACTTCAAGTAGTTCTCCTGCCTCAGCCTCCCAAGTAGCTGGGACTACAGGTGTCTGCCACCACACCCAGCTAATTTTTGTATTTTTAGTAGAGACGGGGTTTCACCTTGTTGGTCAGGCTGGTTTCCAACTGTTGACCTCAGATGAGCCAATGTGCCCCACCCTTTCCTGGGTTTCATAAGGATCTGAAGTGGTGGATTCCTTGTTTTTGCTAGTATCTTATTTAGAGTTGAGATGGACCTTAAAACTCATCTGTTTTAACTCACTTTATAGATGAGTTAAATTTAATTTACTTAAGGATGTACAGTTAGAGCCTGGAACCTCAACCATTCGTCACTCCCCATGCCCATTTAGTTCATTTTCCCCTTCCATGCTGCTTTGTGATTCTTCACTTGAGGTATGAGTTTTTCATCCACGCAGGGTTCTGTCAGTTCATGGTATAGCGATTCAGTGTTAAAATGGTGGTGTCTCAACTGTGCTGTGCACGTTCCAACCATGTCAAATTAATAGTCCAGAGCAAGCAAGAAAAAGGTAATAACATACTCATTTCTTTATGAATATAAGCTTATATTTTTTCATGTGCTATTTTTACTGAGCAAATTGTATGTCTCACATGTTAATAAATATCTTGGCAATTTTATTTTCTACCACATGTATGAAACAGCATAAGGAAAATTGTTTCCGAAGGCATCACTGTTAAATGAGGTTTGGGGGAAAGACATTTTCGAAGGCATCACTGTTAAATGAGATTTGGGGGAAAGACATTTTCGAAGGCATCACTGTTAAATGAGGTTTGGGGGAAAGACATTTTCGAAGGCATCACTGTTAAATGAGGTTTGGGGGAAAGACATTTTCGAAGGCATCACTGTTAAATGAGGTTTGGGGGCTGGTGTGCACATGGAGTTATTTCCCCCCAAATTCTGGGCCTCATGTAGGAAAACCTAAAATATAGTAAATGGGATATGTTGTTATGGCTCTTTAGGTCAACTTAGTGTTAATAGTAATTTCTCATGTGTTAATCACATCTTTGTGTGTTGGGAAGGGAAAAAGTGAAGTGGGTTGGTTAAAATTTAGAACTCCCTTTGCTTAATGCACTCATTCCTTGTGCTGAATTTGTTGCCTTTTGAGACCTTTTGAAACACATAATTAAGGACCTATTCACAGGAGACCACAAAGTGTTCCTTTATAAGATGAAAATTTATTTGCGTTGACCTTGATGACTGGAAAGCAAATGCAACGCCTGAAGATGTGTATTTTACAGAGAAATCCAGCTAATTAAAAGGAGTCATGCTGGGCGTGGTGGCTTATACCTGTTATTCCAGCACTTTGGGAAGCTAAGACGGGTGGATCATGAGGTCAGGAGTTCGAGACCAGCCTGGCCAACATGGGGAAACCCCGTCTCTTCTGAAAATACAAAAATTAGCTGAGTGTGGTGTCATGTGCCTTGATTCTCAGCTACTCAGGAGGCTGAGGCAGGAGAGTACCTCGAACAGGGAGGCAGAGGTTGCAGTGAGCCAAGATTGGCACCATTGCACTCCATTCTGGGGAACAGACTCCATCTCAAAAAAAAAAATCTGCAATGAACACCTATGTGTTCTCTCCCTCTAGATTTAACAATAGTCTGAAAGTAAGTTATAGACATGACACTTCCCTTTATCATGCATAAGATGTTACTGTTACCACAATACCATTATCATACTTAATGCATCTAAACATTATTCCCTAGTGTCTGATATACTATATTCAAATAGCATAATAGTGTCTAAAAAGTGTTACGTAGCTACTCTTTCCAAACCAGGATCCAGTCAGTGTTTATGAGTTGCATTAGGTTAATGTGTTTCTTTTTCTTATTTTAAGAAGGAGTCTTGCTCTGTTCCCAGGCTGGAGCTCAGTGGCATGATCTCTGCCCACTGCAACCTCCACCTCCCTGGTTCAAGCAATTCTTGTGCCTCAGCCTCCTGAGAAGCTGAGATTACAGGTGCCCGCCACCAAGCCCAGTTAATTTTTTTAGTAGAGACAGGTTTTACCCTGTTGGCCAGGCTGGTCTCTTAACTCCTGACTCAAGTGATCTGCCCACTTCAGCCCCCCAAAGTGCTGGGATTACAGGCGTGAGCCCCTGTGCCCGGCCAGGTTAATTGGTTTCTTTAGTTTGCCTTACTCTCCTAACTTAAGTGTTAGGAGGCTACAACAGTTTTTTTGAATGTCCTCTATTTACTGGTTTCCTTAGGGTATCATTTAACTTGTTTCTCTTTATCTCTGTTTCCTGGTCTAGAGGCTAAATTATTAGGTTCAGCTTAAAGTTTTTGCTTTTTTTTTTTTTTTTTGGACAGTCTTGGCTATGAGCATCCAGGCTGGAGTGCAGTGACTGAACCATAGCTCCCTGTAACCTTCAACTCCTGGGCTCAAGGGATCCTCCCACTTCAGCCGCCTAGCTGGGACTACAGGTGTGTGCCACCAAGCCTGGCTAATTTTTTAATTTTTTGTAGAGATGAGGTCTTGCAGCCTGGCACCATGGCTCACGCTTGTAATCCCAGCACTTTGGGAGGCGGTGGCGGATAGATCTGAGGTCAGGAGTTCAGCACCAGTCTGGCCAACAGGGCGAAACCCCATCTCTACTGAAAATACAAAAATTAGCGGGGCGTGGTGGCAGCCACCTGTAATCCCAGCTACTCAGGAGGCTGAGGCAGAAGAATCACTTGAACCTGGGAGGTGGAGGTTGCAGTGAGTCGAGATCGCACCACTGCACTCTAGCCTGGGGGATAGCGAGAGACTCTGCCTCCAAAAAAAAAAGAGATGAGGTCTTGCTAAGTTGCCTGGGTTGCTCTCAAACTACTGGCCTAAAGTGATCCTGCTGCCTTGACCTCCGAAAGTGCTGGAATTATACTCGAGAGCTACTGTGTCCAGCCTAATGTAATTCTTTAGTAGCATGCATAACTTAGTCTGTGTCTAATTTTCTTCACTTGATGAAAATAATTTTTCTAATTTGTTTCTTCGAATCTGGATCCAAATGCTCTCTATACATGTATTTCGTAATGTCTCTTAAGTGTTTTAAGTCTCTAACAGTTTTCCTGTCTTTACTGAAGAAAACCTGAGGTTGATCCTATGACCTATATTTGGCTGATTATATCATTGTGACATTGTTTCACATGATTTTTAACCCCCGTGGTTTTTGTAAAGTGGTAGAATCAGAAGGTTGATTTTACATATATACAAACATATATATATATATAGGTTCCTTTTTTTTTTTTTTTTTTTTTTTTTTTTTTTTTTGAGAGACAGAGTCTTGCCCTGTTGCCCAGGTCGGAGTGCAGTGGCTCTATTTCGGCTCATTACAACCTCTGATTCCCAAGTGATTCTTCCGCCTCAGCCTCCCAAGTGGCTGGGATTACAGGTGCCTTGCCACCACGGCAGGTTATTTTTTTATTTTTTTGCATAGGAATCTCGCTCTGTTGCCAAGGCTAGAGTGCTGTGGGAGCACGATCTTGGCTCACTGCAACCTCCACCT